CGTTGGCCGTCGAGGCCACCTGACTTAGTGCCCATGGATCTAATCCTATGGATATATTTGCGGAAGAATAAAGGTTGCTTATTCTTCCGTATAATCTAGACAAGAATTAGAAATACTTAGCAGTTATGAGAGGGTATCTTTCACCCCTACTGAGTTAATGAATTCCGCGAGAAATGTTCAAAAACTGCCCTGTCTGTCCATAACAGAAGACGGTCGATATGTCGAACACCTGTAGCAAAATCTCCTGTCTTGGTTTGCTATTTATTTTTATAGTTATTAGATATAGTTTAAATGTGTTGATGTTGGTTAAATATATTTTAAATTGTTATAAAATTCTGCATTTCTCATAGCAAATATTATTTTCGTTTTAACTGATGCTCACAGCTAGAATTTTTTTGCATTACAGCCGGTGCCGTTCAAAGCCTACTTATTTAGAGCGGGCGAATTTTTATATACTCTATATCTCGAAGGGGAATCGAGCAAAATATCAAGTGCGTTACATTTTTGGAAAGGTAATTTTAAATTCTTTTCAATAAATTAAAAATATACAGGGTATCCCGTATAAAAAATTAAATTTTCTGTTGATAATTCTTAAATTATTAATTTTTAAAAAATTATACTTAAACCATTAAATTCTACGTAAAAAAGTGCTTTGGAGATGTTTTCATAAAAATATAAAATTTTCCATAGCAAAAAAGTTACAGCGATTTGTTAAAAATGCATATTTTTGAAAAACACCCCGTAACTCCGAAACGGTAACAGATATCGATATGCGGTTTTCACCATCATGTTTTTGACAAAAATTGAGCTCCAGACACCGATATTAGTTTTTGTCTATCTCCTATAGAAAAGGGTGTTTCCATTTAAAAGCGTCGAATTTGACCCACCCTGTACAGGAGGTTGTATTTAAAAAAACATAAGTATAGTTAATATCTAAGAAAATATTTTTTTCGAAAAAAGTCTGACTACGCCACTGCATTCTACAGAATTCTGCACAGAAAAGTGCCTTTAGAATGTTTAATTCATTTTTGGATAGTTGTTGAAATAAACAAACTATCAAACATCTTCAAAAAGTACAAAATTTGGTAATCCCCCTGTAGCTTCGAAACCGATCAAGATAGCCACGATCCGTTTGCGGCATTGTGATTTTTTCAAAAAAAGAACCCGAGACTGCAGTATCAAAATTTGAATATTTCTCACGGTTTCCTAGATACCCTATAGAAACAACTAAAATGGTCCATCCTGTACATGCGAGAGGTAGCCGACGCTCTATATAGAGTATGGCACTGTAAGAAGAATGGACACTAGGGTGGGTCACGACTATTTTTTCTCACTTTATACTCTGAAAAAAAGGTTGGTAGACACCTCAAAAATATTCTCTCCAAATATGAGATTTTAATTTTAATAGGAAGATCCTTCGCCTTTCATTTTTCTATTTTTTCCTTATTATTAGAAAGAAAAAATCATATCTCGGTATCTACTATTTGGAAAAAATATCTCGTGATACATCCCTAGTACATACTGTTACTTATTATATTGTTATTGTTATTTAATAAATTCGTTAAGTATTTTATCGTGAGTTGAAATTAGTGGACCCACGGAATCCGTTACAGTATTAACAATAAGAATAATAAATTTTTGAACAGAGAACTTCTATTATAGTAGTTACTTTCACAACAGAAACTTAAATTTGTAAAAATGTTTCCGAAGCTCCTAAAATAAATTGTTATTGTTGCATTTTTTCTAACTTAGAGTCAATGATTCATTAAATTTCGAGTAAATAATGTTTTTGTGACAAATTTAATATAAAAAATATTGATCTAGAAGAAAAAAAATCATCAAAAAGATTGTTTTATTACCTAACCTAACCATAAGGCTTCCCTCTTGAAAAAAAAGTTCGTCGCGAGTCTGACACTAAACTGTATTCAAATGCAAAATGCACCAGTATAAACAAATGCACAGTGCGTGATCAGCACGTGTCGGGCGAGAGCCAGCGGCGAAATCTACCCTGATTGGCCGGCCAGCCATAGAGCCGTTGAGGTAGGCGGTTGAGATTTTTTACAGGGTCGGCTTGATAGCGCGTTAAGGAATACTGTTCAATAAAATAAAAATGCTTTTTAAATTTATTCCCAACCAAGCGAGTAAAATCAGAACGGTCAACTGTTTCAATAATAATTGTTGATCACTTCGTACAAGTTACAAATAGAGAAAATAATATTTATGTTTGCATAAAATATTTTTACAATTAGTACACACGTACCTACTACAAAAAGTCAAAAGTTATATATTTTATATAAAATTATTATTTTGTAAATGTTAATGAAATTATAAATTTTGTAAATCTAATGTTAATAAATGTTATGTTTAAAAATAGAAGTTTTTATTTGACTAGTTTTTCAAAAAAAATGTCGTTATACTTTAAAACAGATAATACAGCAGGCTACGAAAGCAAGTTAAAACTAAGTGCTTTTTTTCTCAACTAAAATGTATTAAATTATGTTATAATGCAATTGGTCTTTTAAATTATGTAAAAACGTTTACAACATTGCATTTTTTGCAAATAGTATTATTGTGACAGATACCTACTTATACCGATATTCAGATATTGCTGTCATTAATGGAAATAAAAAAAATCAGTAGTACCAAATAAAAAGATAATTATTTTAAAGGACAAATTAAGCCCTTTTAAAAAACACCAAATTTGTTAAAATCGGTCGTGCCGAAGAGTAATGTAATATTTTAATATTCCCGCCCCCTTCCCATCACATTATTTCTCTAATTATATGTAGTTTGATAATAATTAAAGATAATTATTGAGAAAACTGGAAATCATCCGATTTTCACCAAAATTGGTATACACCCTATTTTGAGGTAGTAGATTACGAATCTGAACATTTTTGCTGGCTTTTCAGAAAAACGGAAAATAGTTTCAACATAAAATTTTACTTAATTTCTCATATTTTTAAGGTTTTCTAGCACATATTTTGTTAGGTATTCAATAAACAATGAGGTTTTTGCTATTTTCTGTTGCCTTTTTAACCAATTCTATGCATAATAGAGGAAAATTTGCTAAAATAAATTCGTAAACAATCTGAAAATGTTAGGTTATGTGTTTCTGGCATTTAAAGCAACGTTGTCAATGCTGAACGTAAATTTAGCGTGTTTTTTACATTCTCAGATTACGAAAGGCGGTCGCCTGAGGAACGGCTCCTTCCCATAACTGCTATTTTACCAACGAGATCTGATTATTTATAACCACGAAGTGGCACAAAAGAATTTTGTTTGCATTGGTTAGAACTTCTATGCGGAGGGTGATAATCTTTTTATGTTATATTATATAAAAATGTTATTATATAAAAATTATAAATAGTCTTTATATAACTTCTTTATATAACTTCTTTGCGAAGGGGTTTAATCTTTTTTTAGTATAATGTAACATTAAAATATCAACCCCCTAAGCATAGAAGTTGAAAGCAATGTAATTAAAACTCTTCCGCGTAACTTTGTGGATATAGGTATATTTAACTATTGTCAGATCTCATAATAGGTAATTTATTTAAAATCCCTAATCACCCGAAAAAAATCAAATATTTGTCTCTCTCATTACATAGGAGAGAGAAAGAAGAATATATGAAATGTCAAACTTCCATCTGGTCTCAATTTTCTTTGTTATTTTGTTAAGAAAAGTGTTTTTCAGTAAAATTTTGGACATTTTTCAATCCCCAATCAAGTGTGGCTTTTAGATAAACTATGATATAATAAAAATATAGTGAAATTATTACTTTATAGGGCTGAAATAAAAAAAATCAATGTTTTTATTATTTATATGAAATTATTTTCCGTTTTTCTGAAAAACGGTAAGAGACCGCAGGTTGGTTAGGTTTGGTCAGATTCGTAATCTACGACCTCAAAATAGGGTGTATACCAATTTTGGTGAAAATAGGACGATTTCCAGTTTTCTCAATAATTACCCATTTATATAATATAAATTTCCATCATAAAATATAAACAAGAGTAAAAAAAATCATAAAAATATACATAACAATTTTATGATTTGAAATATCCGACCTTAGTGCGGTCCTGGTTATATTACTACAGCGTTCCTGTTCACGTGCTTGCCTCATGTCTCTGTTTACGTTTGGTGCATCTTGGGGTTGAATTGACTATAGGCCTATTCTTGTTTCGTCACTAAACATGACGAAATTCCAATTAGGTCCATTTGGTCTCATCTCCTCAGCCCGTTGTAGTCGCGTAATTTTGTGCTGTAAATTAAGCTTCGGAAGACGTAGAGGCCTCCTTAAATGTAATCCTCTATCTTGGAGTATTCTTGCTATGGTCTTTCTTGAAACATTTACTCCTTCAAGGCGAGCTAACTCATTTTTAATAGCAGTACTAGAAAGCAGGGGATTGCGTCGTGCAATTAGGTATATTTGACGGTCTTGCACAGCAGTAGTAACTCTCTTTTTACCTCTTCCAGGCCGGTCTGTAACCTCGTTTGTCTCCCTGATTTTTTTTAATATTCGCGAAACATCGCTTTGGTTAACGCCTACAATTTCAGCTACTGCAACTTGCCGGTAGCCCTGTTGAGACAGTGTTACTATTTTGACTCTATTAAACTGTGAAATAATGTTTCTAGGCATTTTAAGGCAAAAACAATAGTGAAATTTCTTCTGAAACCCAAGAGACCACAAATCGAAATGTGCAAGAATTTGTAATAATATTGGGTCTGAACGATAAACATTGTTTACCATATCCGTTTTAACAAAAAAAATGTTTATTACAGATTATCAAAGTTATGTATAAAAAAGATTCTTTAAATTCCTTTCCGTATATTTTTAAACGATACATGCAATAATTTTGGCCATGTGTGTATTTATAATATGACAGCACAAGTTGACAATTGAATTTGATTTTTTAAATTTCTATACAGCATGTGACACAATAACATTTTTGTAACGTTTCTAGTTGTATTTCTTTGTTCATGGTTGTTTTGCTTACAGATCACAATCAGAAGGTTCATCGATGCATCAAGAGCAACGACAAGACAAACAATTCCTATCCGCACCGTTAGCACATTCTCCATTACATTCGTCGAACGAATCCAACGAAACGCCGGAACGAAGAAACTTGAAGTCAATTTTGAAGAAACTCTCGGAAGATACTAAAGAAAAAGAAAAAGAACCCGATAATGAAACAGATCAAGTCGAGAAGATGCCTCAAAGAATTGATTCGACGGAATTTAGGAGGTAAATATTATGACTATAACGGTTTTTTAGTTAGTCCGCTGCAGTATTTTCTGTAGTGTTTCTGGACTACTGAGCATAAGAGAAAACATGTTTCCTTTATCGAGATCTACCAGACCTGTGAAAATATTTACACTTATTTAACTCTCACCCTGTATAACAGGTAATTTATAAACTCTTTGGATTCTACATATTTTGTACACAATGCAGTTAACAAGGAAGCAAATAAAATATTAAATAACATCTAGACAGCGCATTTAACTACAATATGGTATTGAATATTTTTCAAAATTAGTATCTACTAGAAAATTGAAACCTAGGGTGTCAAAAACACTAATAAAGGGTGTATTCCGTTGCTTACCTTGGTTATGGTTTTATGTTACGTTTCTATCGGTTTCCTTAAATTTTATCTTATTGCACAGTTCCTGAAAAATTGGGTTATAACTGTCACCAAACTAAACAGCGCGAGAAGGCTGGTTTTTCTGGTTTTGTTTGTCATGGTTTGTCAATCAATAGCTTTGTTCGGGTTCTTGTTATTACCGATTCTGAACCGTCCTAGAACTCTGCAGCGCATGCGCAAATGAAATAATGTCTTCATATTTCCTTCTGCGCATACGCATCACAGTTCTAGGACGTTTCAGAATCGGTAATAAGAGAAACCCGAAGTAAGCTAATATCATTTATGTCCTGGTACAAAGAAAACAATGTCTGATCGATAGCGGCTCCAATTTCGTTCAGTTCGCGCATACCACCTGTGACGTCACTAGGAAAATAAGGAATAAATAAAAAATAGAGAAAGTTGACAGGAGATATGCATTTTTGAGGGTTATGATGGGTTATGGTTAAGAATATAAGAATTGTTTATTTTTTCTGACATTTTAGTTCGTTTAATTTAATAGAATATTACTAAAATCAGCAGTTCCAAAAATATATTTAAAAATAAAAGACAAAAATCCAAAATATTAATTATCAATTAACATGGATTTAGACGATAATAGGTAAGAATACTCAATTTATTTCTATATTCGGTGTAAAATTGTTTATTAGGTTTTTAGTTTGCGATGTTTATGGTAAATAATTTTTATGTTCATCGTTTCTGAATTGACATGAGAACAGAGATGAGAATAAAAATATGACTATGGAAAAGTAACCACAAGTGGAATAGTTACATCATTTAAAAAATGTTGGGAAGTTGATTGTTTCCCATCGAAAAGTAGAAAATGCCAATGCAGATAAATGTATTGTAATTGTAATAGAAGTAATTCCAAGGGTGAAGTTTATTATAATTAGTGACCTGTGCTTCTTTTTATATGTAGATGTTTCAGGTTTTGAGAATAAATCGGTTGAACGAAACCCAAAATTTAGAGGAAATATTTGCATACCCAGAATATGCCCATCAAGAGTTATAGCTCAAATTTCCTTTAATGGTAGGCAATTATTCAATACAATTTTTAAGTGACTGAAATATTAAATAGTTTACAATATGGTATATCACTGTAAAAATATATTACTTTTAGGTACAATTAGGGCCCGATACATTTCAAAAAGTAGAATATTATTTTATATTAAATGAGGTATTGTACTAACAATCAATTTATATTAATACCGGAGATTAAAAAATAATAGAATAAATAGTTCTTTTTTTTATACTACAAAAATAAACTATAGAATACAACAGTATTTAAAAAATTAAATAAAAAACTTATGTCCCGGCCGAGATTCGAACTCCGGTCTCTCGCTTCATAGCCTGACTCTCCACGCACTGCTCCATAGTAACTAGCGATAGTTCAATGTGGTTCAATGACGGTATATAAACAAAAAAACAGGTTCATTACAATATCTTGACGATTTGAACCGGCGCGGCGCGCGGAGGGTGCTGACCAATAGCGCCTATTATCACCTGTGACGTAGCGACCAACCTGCGCAATATCATACCTTGTTTTCTTTGTACCATGATTTATGTGACAGAAATCAAGCAAATATTGGAAGTTCGAGTGAAATTCTCATTTAATTTCTAAAATTTGTAATAATATTTTGTATTCACGTCCAAAAGCAATGGAGGTAGGCAGTAAAGGTAAATAAATTTCATTAACTAAATAGAATGACTTTTTAGGACCATTTAAACTTATCATGCAGCCATTGTTTCTTAAAGTCAGGAACATTCAAAGAAAACATGAAAACAAGACAACAAGTAATCGTGAATGTTTTGTAATCTATAAAAACATAAATATTGATTAGATTTGTTTATTTATTATTGCTCTGTTTTAATATTGGACCTGCAAATCTTCACTTGAGCTGTCTAACGAGTTTAACAGTTTATAGGATGATTCACAGTACACCGGAACGTGCCTGAGCCGGGCACGTTCCGTGAAGTAGACACCGAGCCACGTCCGATATATCCTTCTGTATATGCAACACCGAGTTGAAAACGGGGTTCGTATTAGTTCCGAGTATATTAGAAAACACAGCCCCATAGGCACACGAAGATTTAATACGAACAATGCCAAAGTTCTCGCAATTGGAATTGGTACCAATTGCAGTTGATGAATAAAGAATAACACCTGCAGGGGAAACACCTGCTCAAAGGAAAAGATGAAGGACCTATCTTCTTCATTACATCCTTTCATTGTCCAGTTTTACGCATACCCTGTCGTCAAATACTGCTGTAAGATTTACTAATATATACTACAGACATGATAAAAAGTGTACTTTGTTTATATCATGACTGCAGATTGCAGTCGGCGCACCAGGAAAAGTACATTCATGGTTTCCGCAACATGGCGGGAACGGAGCGGATCCGAGAAAAAAATGTACGCCGACATTTCTGGGACGGGGCACGGACGAGTTCCGGCGAAGCTCGGATCGTGCTCGGCCTGGCATGAATATATATGTGTAAAGAATACTTGACAATGTTTGGCCGTGTCTTCACCGACGCACGGCTCGGACCCGTCACGGTATAGCGTGAATCATCCTTATTAGTAAAGAACTTTTCAATATTAAACTCCATTGAAAAGAAGAAGCAAACGTAAAAGCAGAGAATAGGTACATTAAAAATGCATAAAAAATAAATTTTATAATAGAGGTATTGAAATTTAGAAAACGTCTACATTTGATGTTTCCAATATTTTACCAAACCATTCTGTATCAAACCGATGTTTTTTAGGAACCGCTTTTTACCGTAGTTTACCAGTCTGGTTTGCCTGGTTTTGCAACGGAATACAGCCAAAATCAAGATTTTAGGTTGAATGCTTTGGTGAGAATATCATACACGAAGTGTTCAAACTCCTACTTCACTTGCAATATTTGACTATATTTTTTAACCTCTGGATAACACTTTCAAATAAATTATTTTTATAGTACAGCTGATTCCAAAAAAAAATGAATACGACTCTTTACACATTTTTTTCGAATATTTGAGCAGTGTATATTTATGTGTCAAGTATTTTGACATGTTAAGGTTATTGTGACATTGAATAAAACAACTTTGCTTTTGACAAAGTGGCAAATAAATTTTTCAGAATGTCAGAATGACATGAGTAGAGAAATGGGGGACTGGTATCATAGAATATACTGCTCGAAATAATAAAAATATGTTTTAAATCGTATTCAATTTTATGGAACCAGCTGTACATCAGGGTCAAGAAATGTTTTTGTCTCTGCACATTTTTTTCTGCATAAATAATAATTAAATATTAGTAATAGCATAAGAATTGCATATTAAAAATACAATTTTATGTAGTACGCATATTTAAGCTGAGAGTAAACAACTTATTTTTTTTAGACATTTTTATCATTTAAGGTTCATTCCCACAGCATCAGAAAATTGTCTAAAATAGTTCTATGTCTTTTGTTTAGGACATATCTATGACTTGACAATTTTCTGACCAGTTTGGATGCTTGTGGGAACAAACCTTTAGTCTTTTTATGTAAATTATGTTTATATCCACCTAAAAGAGTAAATTACTAACTTAAAAGAATAAAAGTTTATGCCCTAGGTTAATGAGAGCTCCAACGATAGAAGGGTATGCAGCGAGGCACAGCAAGCTATCGAAAAGTGTCACCTTTAATAGAGATACGTTACAGAGCCCACCAAATAGTGCAAACACTATTCTTGGTACGCCTCAGAGTTTGTTTCCTTTTCCCACTGATAATGGTTTGGATGTTCGACAAGAGGTGAATAATTTTCTATCACAATATTCAATTAGTTATAATAGTACCACGATTAGAAAACTAGTTATTTGAATCCTTATTTGAGGTTGTAGCACCGTTGGAGAATGCACCAAGCCTATATATTTCCTTTGTACACCTGTTATATTATTTTAGCTTAAATTACTAAAGATATAATAACCAATAATACATTTTTCAAATTGTTCTATAGTTAATTACAATCAATGTGTAATTTTTCTTCTCTATAATTATACACTCACCGGCAAAAAAACCGACCACTAAAAACTAGTCCCAATTTCAAAGTTGGATTTCTCGCGAACCACTCATTAGATTTTGATGATTTTTTTTTAAATTGTAAATGAATTTCTTCTTAACGGATGCTACGTCAGAATTTTTTTTCGAATTTATTTTGAGTATATACCGGGCACAAGAATAAGACGAAATTTTTTGCTCGCACTTTGTAACACCCTGTAGGGTACAGCAGCTGTGGTAGCTATTGCTAAATCAAATCACATTTTAGCCCCACCTTTTGTGAGGATTATGTTTTTTTTAATCACGACATTATCTCTGTTTCTATTGGAGATACGCTGCTTTAAAACAAACGCTTTGAAAAAAGCTTTAAAACAAATCACACAAACACGAGAACATAGGTAAGTTTAATCTGAAAACTAACTAAAACATGAAAATTAAAAAAAAAGGTAAAGAAATTTTGAGGGACTAATATCTAGTATGGCCTCCTCGCTTCAAAATCAGTTCATCAACTCATTTACTCGGCATCAAACTCGCTCCCGATTATCAGGCGATCACAGGCAAAACCGCGATTCATCCGTGAAAGGACTTTAGTCCATTGCTCAATATCCCAAGGTAAACGCGCAAATTGAAGACGTGCTCGACGATGTCTTGGAAGTAGCTGTGGTCCTGTGGCAGGCCTTCTTGCAGAAAAGCTGTTTTCTTTTAGTCTTCGTTGGATTGTTCTCTCACAGACTTGAGTCCTACGCACGGCTTGTAGCAGATGTTGATTCTGAAACGCTGTAATTCTACGATTTCGTAAAGTATTCAGAACAATAAAGCGGTCGCCAATTGTATTCGTCTTCCGTTTTCTTCCGGAACCCACTCGTCTGGTGAAATTTCCCTTTTCCATATACCGAATAATATCCGCTATGCCGACGATGCGGTCTTAATTGTAGACAATATACACGACCTACAACAACTGGTCAACAAAATAGGAGAACAGAGCAAAGCAATGGGTTTAAACATCCACATTAAGAAAACCAAATTTATGATTATATCCAGAAACCCAGATGTGTTTATAAACTCCATCCTAACATTTAACTCAAGGCCCATAGAAAGAGTAGATAAATTTAAGTACTTGGGCATCTGGCTCTCCGAAGATTGGACATCAGACAAGGAAATTAAATGTCGCATCGAACAAGCTCGGCAGGCATTCTTGAGGTTTCGAAAAGTACTTGTCTGTTCTGATTTTGACCTTAGCCTTAGATTAAGATTCGTAAAGTGTTATGTGTGGTCGATGCTCCTTTATGGTATGGAAGGTTGGACATTGAAAGCAGCTACTATCAACAAATGGAGGCTTTTGAGATGTAGAGGCTTTTGTGAAGATACCTTGGACGGCTAGATTGACAAATGAGGAAGTTCTCAGACGCGTTGACAAAGAGCGTGAATTATTTAAATTGATTAAAAAGAAAAAGACCGCATACCTGGGGCACATAATACGAAGTCCCAAATATCAATTCTTGCATTTGTTGATAGAAGGCAAGATCGAAGGCCGGAGGGGTATCGGAAGGAAGAAAATGTCTTGGCTGAGGAATATTAGACAGTGGACAGGGCTACTCGATGTTCAGTCGTTAATACACCGCCCGGAACAGAGAAGCAATGGAAAATGTTATCGCAAACATCCATTAATGGATCTGCACTAGAAGAAGAAGATATACCGATTCCAAGCATCCTAGACTGTTGTTCGAGGTATGCCCAGGGTGGACACATAACGTTGACTTCGGCCATCCTCAATTAAAGCCACAATACGAGCAACATCAGATAATGGCATTTTTTAATTTGACAACCGTTGTTGTCATATTACAAATACTCATAAATCCGTTTTCGTCCATGTCGCCTTGATTATTTAGACACAAAACTTTCTGCCTGCGCAGCGTTGTTCCGAGACGTTCGTTTTAAGGCAGCATATCTCCATAATCTCCAATACAAACAGAGATAATGTCGTGATTAAAAAAACAAAATATTCACAAAAGATGAGGCTACAATGTGATTTGATTTAGCAATAGCTACTACAGCTGCTGCACTCTACACGGTGTTACAAAGTTCGGACAAAAAATTTCGTTTCATTGTTGTGCCCTGTATATGCTCAAAATAAATTCGGAATAAAAATTTCTGACATAGCATCCGTTAAGAAGGAATTAATATACAATTTAAAAAAAAAATCATCAAAATCTAATGAGTAGTTTGCGAGAAATACAACTTTGAAATTGGGACTAGTTTTTAGTGGCCGGTTTTTTTTGCCGGTGAGTTTAGTTACCAAAAATATTTTGAATATAAAATTTGCTATTATACTTTGTATTTGTATACTACGCACGTAACTTAATTATATACGTTTTTTGGGCATATAGAATTTTTAGATATTATAATTAATATTTTTAAATCAAAGTTTACTGTTAATGATAAAAAAATCCACAGTTCAATAAAATATTATTGAAATAGATTTTATTACAGTAACATTTTTTTTATTTTTCAGGAAAAAATAAATGAATTGGAACGATGCGGCATTCAATTTGTGCCTAATAAAACCAATAACCAAGTTAAGTTAATTAAACGTAAGTATTCCTCCTTTAATTTAAGATTAATAGTGATCAAAAAAATACTATAGATTGAAAAAACAACGTCAAGTTACTGTAGAGATTACGATTTATGGAACTTTATATGTAAAAGTATACAGCTTGTTAATTTGTATATTACACGCGGCAATGTTGTTAGCTTTATGTTGAAATATGGCAACCTCGGCCCGCTCGTCGATAGACGACGGACGCGACGGGACGAGTCGGCAGAAAACCCTATAAGTGCATGCGTTCTCAATAGGCAGCGTTGCCATTCTGTTCCTCTATAAGTAACTGTCCAGTTAACAACCTGTATAGTAAATGTCTTTAATTATCATTTCTAAGGTAATTATTTAACGCCATGGCTATTTATTTGTACTCATATGGAATGTATATTTTTATATTTACTAATTACAGCAGCAAACAAAGAAAAAAACTTAGAGAAGCTGCAACTACAGTAGGTTTTTTTCTTTTTTCAGCTTCCCTTGAAGATGAACAACAGTATTTTACAGACATACTCCTGGCAATAAAGCAAGTGATTAGTGCCCATCTCCACGACATGCAACACAAATTTCAAGAACGCTTTGATAAACTAGAAGAAGAGTTGCGAAATAAAAACGAACTCATTCAGCAACTCAGGTCTCACATTTACGAGTTGCAAAGAATGACCGATGATTCGTTCACGGTAATGAAAAAATTCTACTAAATATACCTCTCTTAAAATAAATTAATTAGTTATTGTCAAGCTTCATTCAGAACCTCCCAATTAGTGGAATAAATTAGTGGTTTCATTTACACTTTATAATTTTTAGTTTACGATCATTCACAATATCTAAAAAACACAATTAAAATTAATAAAATATCCTAGCAATAGCTTGCGGTAGTCTGTTACATCCATAGAGAAAGCATAATATTTAGCTTATAAAACAATCAATTTTTGATTTCTAACCACAATTTCTCTTGACGGATGATAATCAAAGGCCAAAATGGCATTCCTCGCAAATTATGAAGTATAATTAGTGGAAAAGTCACAGGTTTGTTAACTTTTTCCAATAATTGAAACTTACTACCACTAATTATGACGTTCCGAATGCTTACATTAAAATTAGGTAAACAAACTTCTAAGGCTAATTGAAACTACTAATTTATCCACTGATTTCGAGGTTCTGAATGAAGCTTAGTAATTAATTTTTTAATAAATTTAAATTAATATTAATACACAGAGCAAAGTTTACCTAATTGACATGAATTGAAAGAAAATTTAAATTTAAATATTTGAACATTTTGTATTTAAATGATGGAGCTGCTAAGATGGTTTTACTAAATATTAGTAGTGATTAAGAGTTAAATCAGGTTTCAAATAGAAGAAAAAGTAAAGATAATCTAACAATTCTAATTAATTAAGTAGAAAATTAAATAAGAAGGATACCAATTAAGTTCAAACATTCCAATTGAAATGAATACCTTAAAAGTTAATTAGATCACCAGAAATATACTCAGGTCTACAGTGTCTTGAAGCTGTAAGAAAATGCCGCATATGCCGCGAAAAAACGTATATTTTGACACTCTCAATGGAATCTAAATTTATAGGATATTTTTCGTTGACCTAGAACCAGGGCCGTTCCTGGCGAGCGTGCAGTGCGTGCACGCACGTAGGCGCAACATTTTGGGGGCGCAAAATCAAAGGGTCAATCAGTACTTTGTAACAAAAAACCGATACGCTTTCTTGCCAATAAACAAATACTTAAACCATCATAGGATAAAGTTTGCTTAGCGTCTTTTTTGCGTTGGCCGCACCGAATAAACAAGTCTAGGGCAATCTGTCGGCAACACATTGATCTCATTTATTTATTTTTCATTTTATTCATTTTATGGAAAGCTCTGTCCATTAAAATGTTGTATCCTATCTAATAGGGCTTGTTTCTCTCTACAATTTCCTGTCTCACAATGTACCGTTTGTGTCGGGGAAGGGATCATAGTTTCATAGTTGTCGATTTTCGAAAGAAATCAGTACATGTATATTATTTCGTATATTTTTTATTTTATTGATTTTATGGAAAGCACTATTCATTAAAATGTTGTATTCTATGTTATAGGGCTTGTTTCTCTCTACAATTTCCTGTCTCACAATGTACTGTTTGTGTCGGGGAAGGGATCATAGTTTCATAGTTGTCGATTTTCGAAAGAAATCAGTACATGTATATTATTTCGTATATTTTTCATTTTATTGATACTATGGAAAGCACTGTTCATTAAAATGTTGTATCCTGTGTTATAGGGCTTGTTTCTCTCTACAATTTCCTATCTCACAATGTACTGTTTGTGTCGGGGAAGGGATCATAGTTTCATAGTTGTCGATTTTCGAAAAAAATCAGTACATGTATATTATTTCGTATTTTTTTCATTTTATTGATTTTATGGAAAGCACTGTTCATTAAAATGTTGTATCCTATGTTATAGGGCTTGTTTCTCTCTACAATTTCCTGTCTCACAATGTACTGTTTGTGTCCGGGAAGGGTTCATAGTTTCATAGTTGTCGATTTTCGAAAGAAATCAGTACATGTGTATTATTTCTGAATTTTAGTTTATTGTTTTTATGTATTTCATATAAAATGGGTCAGTTTTTCTTTAGGGTACTATTTTTGTTACTAAATATTTGTGGTTTTGTTTGTTTTATTTATTTAATAAATGTTTTTATACTTTAATTAGAATAGTTTTCTTTACATTTCCAATTACATATTGCTCGTTTGTCGCAGAATATAAATTCTTTAAATTTTTGAGATTAAGATTAAAATATATAATTGATTTAAATATAAAAAGGGCGCACCAAAGAATGTTGCACGTAGGCGCCAGATACCCCAGGAACGGGCCTGCCTAGAACTATAAAATTTGGCAAGTAATACCGTCTTATACAGTATATATTATATAGTATAGGGAAAAATCTCAAAACTATACATCTGTAATTAAATCATAAAAAATATAGTCTTTATTTAAAGTACCTAATAAATCATCAAGGTTAAGCAACGATATGCGCGGTCATAATTAATTGTATGGGTGACCAAATCTTTTTGTAGATTTTTTCAAAGCGGTTAAAAGAACTGTTTCAAAAAATAGGATCTTAAGTTTAAGAAATTTGAATAACACAGTTAAGAAACTTTCTAGTGACTTTTATACTTATTCGAATTTTAAAACTATTATATTATAGGAATCAATTGATACAATCATCAGCAAAGATAAGCAATCATGGGAAGATCCCACGCATGAAGAAGAAGAGGAACTTCAAGATCTTCCACAGCCGATAAACGCCTGGTCCACATCCAGACAAAATAGTGTTATTTTAAATATCGACTCTACAGGTTTGTATATTTTTTATTATACAGTGTCACAGATAAGTTAGCATCTTAAAGGGTGTCATATTTTGATTTAGATATAAAATGGGTTCGCACATATTTGAAATTTTTATTAGAAATAGTTTGTTTTTAATATTTTATAAACGAATTAACAACTAATAGCACCCGTTTTTTAGGGTAGAAACAAAAATAAATATCTATTCGTTAGCTAGTAAGTGTATGATTTAATAGACTTACTAGCGTGAAGAGTTTTTTTAAAGAAAAAATAAAAGACGAAGATATAAATTTTCAAATATATTTTGCCAAAATTCGTCCCATATATCAATTTTCTACCCATTTGTTTCTTCTTGTGCGTATGGAATCTTAATTTGTGATATTTGTCTATCGGCCATAAAATTCATTTTTGAATTTCTTATAAAGACACTGAAGAATCTGAAGATAATGCAGATGGGGATGAAACGTCGGAGAACGACCCTACAGATTATGAATCTGGAGACGGTGACCAGTACGAGAATTCTAGTTCCAATTGGGAAATTGAATTATTAGCCGCTCAAATGAGAGATAGAAGAGCGGGTAGCTTAGATCACAATATAGGAAGACCACCACTACGTAATAGGTTTGTATAAAGAGTTACTTATATGTAATTATGTATATCTCAGTTAAGAAACATAGGTAATTTTGGATTTTACAACTTATCTAAATAATTTATTACAGAATTTAAAAATAACAACGTGAGTTTGAAGATATGTAACTCACCTCGTAGTTAACAAAAATATATTCAAAATGTCCAGATTGTCCACATAGTTTGAAATAATATTCCTTAATATCTCAAAGATGAAACCCTATATAAAACTTTTTCTGAACGTTGGGTCACCCTGTGTACCATTAGATGTTAGGCATTTAGTTGTCTATATCTATAGACATTTATATCTTACAAGAAAAAAATATTTTGAGCATTATCATAGTCAATATCTAGCCAGATATAATTATATCTGGCTATATATACAGGGTGGCGCTTCTCATAGAACGCGGAGGCTCCAAGGAGAACGATAATTTGTATTGAAATGGAATTTTGTGAGCATATGTAGGTTACTTTAGATCATTTTTTAAAAATATAGAGAGTTCTACAGGGTGTCCCCAAAAAAATTTACATATCAAAGTTGTGTTTTTTGTAATGGAACACCGTATATACTAATTGATTTTTGGATTCTGGAAGAAAAATAAAGGTTTCATTAGAGAAGTATATGATTAAATGTAGGGTTTCTGACATATTTATAACATTTTTTTTATAAAAATGAAGAACAATTTCTAAATTTCATTAAAAGTTACCTAAATTGAAATATACCCGGTATAGTCTAATATGTAGTTAAAGTAACTATTTTACTTTATATGAAATTAAAACTTGATCCAAAAGGTTATACAAGGTGAGATAAAATTAATATTGATCATTGGCCACCTTTAAAAGCAAGTTACTCTTTTATTTTAAATGGAACACCCCGTATATTATTTTAATATTTAATGGGGAATTCATGTCTCTTCAAAATACTATTAAGGTTGCCTACCCGCCAAACAAAGATTAGATATTTTCATTTTTGTGATTTAGTGTCAATAGATCTTTATTATTTCATAAAATCTAGGTGGCTGTGATATGTCTGACGTTACTTCAACATAGCTGTCAAATTAGTTCAATTTTAATAGCTAGTTATCATTTTGTGTCAGTTAACATAAAAAAAAATCTCAGAAATTTGCCGAAAATGGAAACTTCCTACTACTAAATAAAATCCTACATCAGAGAGAATTGATATGATTCTATTAGTTGGTGACTGCAGTATACATTCACCAATTAATAGAATACTTAAATTCTCCTGATTTATCTAGTCTGGACTTTTTTTAAAAGGAATATGTTAAAGACAGTGTTTACAAAACTCGGCCAACAATTATCGACAACATGGACATATCGAAAGGAATGATTGTAGCTGCTTTTCGAAGTAGGGTTTAACATATGCCTAAGTAGGATTTAACATATATATGATTTTAACATGAAAAGATATTTTGAAAAGAGAATGATTTTATGCGAATAACAGGAAAGAAAGCATTTTCAGGCATTTGATTTCATCTAGCTAATTTTTTTATAGGTTTATATCTAGTTTTAATTCTGTAATAATTAAATATGTTTTAAACGTATATCTTTTATTACCGTTGAGTATTTTCCATTACATTTTCCTTTAATTTTTGTTAAATAAGAAAAGATATATCACAGCCACCTAGATTTTATCAAATAATAAAGATCTACTGACGCAAAATCATATAAATGAAAATATCTAGGAAAATCTTTGTCTGAGGGGTAAAAAACCCAATAGTTTTTTAAAAATATATTAATTATCCATTGAATACCAGAATAATATACTGAGTGTTCCATTTAAAATAAAGTAGTAACTTGTTTTTAAAAGTGACCAATGTTCAATAATAATTTTGTCTCACCCTGTATAACTTTTCGGGTCAAATTTTAATTTTCTTTAACATACAATGGTTATTTTAATTAAATATCAGGCTATACAGGGTAAATTACAATTTAGGTAACTATTATTAAAATTTAAAATTTATTCCTCATTTACACAAAATGTGAAATATGTCAAAATTCATACATTTTAGGCATATGCTTCTTTAATGAAATTTACCTTTATTTTTTTCAATAGAATTCGAAATTCAATTCATATATAGGGTGTTCCATTACAAAAAAACACAACTTTGATGTGTAACTTTTTTTGGGGACACACTGTATAAGTATTATTTATAGTGATAAAGATTTTGAAAAATGTGTTGTTTCCAGATTTTTTAAGGGGTCCAGCGTTGATGGGCACGATTGATATTTGGTTTTCAAAACAGGAATGTCAGTGGAATGTAAGGAATTTTTCATTTACGGTAATTATTTTTTAATAGTCAATGCGCATTTGTTACAAAATTCTTTATAGTCGGTTTATGTTTTATATCTATTAATTTTTCTAGTCATAACAAGCAAAACATATAATTTTGAAAATCCTAGAAACGATTTAAGGATGTAATTAATACGACATATATTTTAAAACTGTTTAGTGTTACTTAGTGTTTATATTTGTATATAAATTTATTTTGGTTTAATGAACCTACGTTAAGTTAAAAAGTAACAAATCTCTAATAATAAAATATATGTATAGATAATTTATATTGCATTTAATTATATTTTAATTTTTGTATATTATTTTTTTAAGATTGTTATAAAAAATATTAGATTAGGCAAATCTAACATGTCAATTTAATATTAAATAAAAATTTATAACAGATTTTTTGAGGATCTAAAATAATTCAGAAATGGATTTTATTGATATCACTACATGTTTATACTTTATTTCATAAAGTATTAATGTAAGGTTTGTTTTATTCGGTCTAATAATCATATTCATAGTATATAATGTTAAATCGACATAAAATTACTTTCCTTGAAGAAAACCTGGGTTTTTCGCCACATGAAGAGAAATCTATAAAATAAAAAAAGGTTTTTATAAATACCGCTATGTTGAATCCAGACGAAAACCAAATTGTCAGCAGATTTTTGCTAAGAAAATAAATTTGTGTCGACAAAAAATGCTTTACATTTCAGGAGGTCTGTGTTGCCAAATAGAATTTCCTACAAAGACTGTCAAAATTTCCCTTTTTTTAAATTCCACGCAATACAGATATTATGTTTTTTTAACTGAAAATAAAAAAAAAAATCAGCAGACTTCGAAATATACTTTTCGGATTTTTTTCGCGCTAAAAATTCCCATAGGCGTGTTCCTGGTTCTTAACCATACGCATCTTCAAACATCACTCGCATTTCCCAAAAAAACCATATGACATTATATATGTAATGCGTATACACAAAGTTGCCAGAAACAAGTTGGAGCTACAAATAGTACATGAATTTATAATATCCCATGAATATGTTTTTTGGTGAGAATTTCCCTTTTCTCTCTGGATCTCAAAATTTCCCACGAATTGGAAAATCTTCCGCTAGTTGGCATCACTGCAAGAGGTATATCCCCTCCCATTGTCAGAAGTAAAAAAAAAGAAAAATCGATTTAAAATCTTTGAATGTGCTATTTTCTATTTTAATTCAAAGCAGTAAGTACCTAGTGTTTAAAAAAAACTTTTATTTTGTGGATTTCTGTTCCAGTGGCAAATTACTCATACTTTTTTAAAGAAATGATTCTGCCACAAAGGTATAAACATTATTTATAAAATTTCTTAGTAGACTAATGTTAATTTTATACCATTATTTTATATTAAAATATATCTCATATTGTATAGTTTAAGAATCGGGTTATCATAGACAAATATATTATGTTAAAAAAATATTAATTTTTAAATAGATAACCAACATGATTTATAAATTTACATCACAAATTAACTTCATTACTATGCGATATCAACACAATCACACTTATGTATAATTATAATAAAATATTAGTAATCAATATAACATAAACCAATAATTATACAGGTTGAGTCTTAAATAAGTGCAAATATTTTAGAGGTAGTATATTTCGACCCCAGAAACATGATTATGAGGGCTTTTTCGCGAATTTTTTTCTCGAAAATTTGGAATTTTTTTTCTTAGTTAAGAAAACAGAGTATTGGTAATATGGCAACATAGGTAGTAGATTTAATTTACAAGAAAGAAAACCCCGGAAAGATCCAGTGGTCTCTCAAAATTTAAGCAAAAGAATCATTTTTTTGGAAAATTTTAAATTAAAATATCTCAGATATTTAGGACTTATTTGAAAAACGGTAAAGATAAATATATTTCTTTTATTGAAATCTATCAGACCTGAAAACATTTGTACTTATTTAAGACTCATCCTGTATATACCGTTCTGGCAACTGTTACTTTTGGGTCGGTATTTATATGTGTGGAAGTAAATCGCATAGGGATCTTATTAAGTCGGAGTGAGAGAAATGCGCGGTGTATTGTTGCGGCGTTGCCGGTACGCCTTTAAAGTAAAATCACGATCGCAAACCGTTTATTTTTAAACGACTTTTTTTCGAAAAAATAACTAAATAAAATCGTTAGATATGTTTCTGAGGATCTCAAATGAAATTATAAGTATATCGTTAAGGTGTCCATTTTTTTATAACGAACGAAAAAACGTCAGTAATCGCGATAATTTAAAAACTCAACTTTTTAACAAATAACGCGCTATAAGTTAAGAACCACTTTAGACATTGAAACTTTTTTACTTTGAAGATCGGATCTTTTACAATGTGTACATAAGAAAAATTCGATAAGGTTGTTTTTCTCCATTCAAAAATTTTAAACTACTCATCTATTTACATTTAGTGCTTAGCAATTTTCAGCATTCGTGTAACTTTTTTATTTATAAATATTTTCACATACTGTCTGCGAAGAAAATATAGCAGTAATGTTAAGAAAGTTTTTGAAAAAAACTACAATCAATTATCTTTAATAGATTTCGAGATATCGATTTTTGAATTCAGAGTTCTAATAAATGCAAGTATTTCTAACTTGCATTTAAAAATTTTCAAAATTTCGACTCGTTAATGTATATATATGATCTAGGTTAATAAATAAACAAAGTATCGCGAGACGTAATTAAATCGTGAAGCTGAACGCATGATGTACACCTTGTACACATGACTACTACAAATCTGCTATATCCCCTTCCACGTCTCTTAGCAATGTGCACAGTTTCTCGGTTTATTTCATACGCTGTGCAACGTGTTTACTGCTCTCTCTTTGTTCAGTACATTATAAACGCATTGTACTCTTCTTACATACGGAAATCTCGACCCAAGACTAACCATTGCCAGCCCTTAATATGTGCAATTGCACAACTGAATATTTTGTCAATTATAATGAGGTGTATCTTTTTATACCATGTCATAGGAGTGTGCGCTGTGCATAGCATTAAGAGATTTACCAAGAAACATTAAGTGAAAATGTAATTGAAGTATCCTGTTGAAGTATTTTAGGTCTCTTAAGGAAATAAAAATAAATAAAACTGTATTTAATGATAATCTAGAAAAATATTGAAATATAATGAACTAACTTGTAATGGTAACGTAAAGTTCTGGATATTTTTTTTTCTAATAATAAAAACAGAAGAAATATTCATATAATTTGCATTTAATTTACTTATACATAATTTATAATAATTTGTATTAACTCGCGTTGTGCCTATTTTCATCTGGGTTTCTTTATGATATAACTTTTTATTCAGAAACAATTTTAAATATAAACTTTGATTAAAATAGTAAAAAGAAAATATATCCAGAATATGTACGTCCATTATCTAGATAAACTAATATATCTGTAAAGAAAAATTCATGACAAAATGACTCAAAAAAGACAGAATTCTATGTGATGATTACAGAGAGTGAGCACCGTGGCTGTCTTATTAACTGTAAAAAAGTTGTAAAAAGGGTTTTATGTAATTTTATTGAAAACGATCGCTCAAATTTGTTAATTTTTAAAACGCCCCGAAAAATAGTCTATTAAATAAATGGAAAGTATATTTACGTAGTGCCAATAATAATCAAAATATTTAATATAGCCATTTTCTTGTTGGTCATATAATGGACAAGTATGATCTAAAGTAAAACAAAAAGGTAAAATACAGAAGAACTATAATAGTAACCAAATTTTTTGGTTACTAAAAGTTTACCTACAAAAGTTTACCTGTTAAAGCAAATAATTTTGATTTTAGTGTAGTATTTAGCCAATATTATATTTTTTATATATTAAATCTTGGCGACATCACAGTATTACCGCATCTAAAAAACATTTTACTATTTTCAAATTAAATTTTAAATTACTGCTTTCTTTATACACTCAGATGCAAAAAATGCAACGGAAAAATGTTTTGTTATGTTAATGAAAAGTTATGTTTTTTATAGTTAGCCCGATTTCCTTTAGGCCAGTAAGCGAGGATAAAAATAGGGTATTACCTCCGAATTCTTGACACCCGCACCGATTGGCGTGAAATTTTAACAGTGAATAGAGATATATGTAAGAAACAAAAGTTACATAGTAGCGATGTGTGCTTTCACCCTGGGGGTGAGTGTCACCCCTTCTCGGGAGTGAAAAATAAATCACCCATTTTAATTACAAAAATCAATAAAGTGATGAATTATAAGCAAAAAATGTTCTATAATATTTTTTCAGAAAATTAATATTTTCCGAGTTATTTAGGATTGAAAATGTTGATTTTTCACCTAAAAATTGCATATTTTTCTGCAATTTTTTATAAATAACTCGAAAATCTTGCGTTTTATCGCAAAATCCATATAAAGCAAAAATGAAGCTTTTGGAATAACGAATCACTCAATTTTTAGCCGACCATACCAATAGGTATGGTAGGCTATTAGGATCGGCAAAAAAAATGTTTTTTTTAATTTCACTCAAAATGAGTTATTTGGGTCATAAATGACCTAAATACAAAATATTTTCATGGTGTCTGTCTGTCTGTCTGTCTGTAAACAAAAATGATAACTAAGGAAATATTAACTTTCTGAAAAAATGTTACAGAACATTTTTTGCTTATAATTCATCCCTTTATTGATTTTTGTAATTAAAGTGGGTGATTTATTTATTACCCCCGAGAAGGGGTGACACTCACCCCCAGGGTGAAAGCACACATCGCTACTATGTAACTTTTGTTTCTTACATATATTCATTATTCACATTATTCACTGTTAAAATTTCACGTCAATCGGTGCAGGTGTTCAGAATTCGGACCCTAAAATCCTCGCTTACTGGCCTACTTGTTTTTTTAGCGAACTTTATATAAATATATCAACTTTAATTAAATTAATTAAGAAAACTAATTTATTTTTAATAGAAAATCTACTGATCTCGCTGAGTATAAATTAATTTTATGTTAGTTCTTCCTTATTCTGACATTATCCACTTGACCAATTATTCCAGGATTTTTTTAAAAATTATCTCTATTTAATAATCAATAATTCCATTCGTGATGTTTACTACCCCATACACTTTTTAAATCTAGATATAATCATCGTATTTTAGTTTTCAGCTATTATGATTATATTACATCGAAATAAGTTTTTTATAACAGCTTTAGAATACAACCTACAATATAACACAATATTTAAACAA